GACCGAAAATAGCTAGAAGAATATCATCATGGTTTTGGCGTCCATTCTGCGGCATTCATGCGAATGAATCGCCACACGTCAAATTATTTACGAAACGTTTAGCGGCGTACGAGCCTTGATTAAATCGCTCAGGCGATTAAAGTGGTAAGACATTGCGATGACGACGTAGAATCGACAATTTCAACGCGAAAAAGAGTATGCAGACACACACAGACGCCGACAACGTGACATTCGAATGGTTTGTTGACGCGGGACGCGGTGCTTCTTGCCCGTACTCCATTGCGCATGCGTTCGAACTGTCGTCTGCTCTTTCAAACTTGGCTGCTTTTTGTCGTCAGCTCGTTCAAACGACAGCGGCCCGTAAACAAAACGTTGACCCGGTAATTGCGATAAGAACTAAGTGCAGGCCTCAAAACACTTTTGAAGGTTGGTTTGGTTAAGTAGGCTAAGTGTAAACAGATACAAGAAGATGTTGATCATTGTTACCAGTGGCCATCACCGACTTGTAACGCCCGATTCTACTTGCGGTTTTCAGTATCGACGTCCACCATCTCAGCTACGGTCCACGCTTTTGCAGTCCCAGCGACATCGCGACTGAAAATAGCGAGCATAATCTCATCGTGGGAGTCAGGCTTTAGCGCCCATTCTGCGGCGTCCACGTGAAATGAATCGCCGCACGTCACATTATTCACGCAAAGTTTTGCCTCGATAGTTTTGCTGAAGCCGCTAAGTAGTCAGGCATTGTTAGCAGGACGTAAAATCAACGATTCCAACGCGAAAAAGAGCACGGGGACTACCACCGACGCCAACAACAACGCAATTCAATGGTTTGTTTATGGGCGACGGCGGGCTTCTTGCCCACCATCCACCGCGCATGCGCGGCGCCGGCGTCCGCTAGGGGCGCTCCGGTTTGTTTGTAAACATGAGTTGGTGTATAGGCATGAACGGCGTCGCTGTAAAATGATACGGATTTGGCGGATTGCAGAGCGGATCCGGATGCCAGGCGCTGCAGATGAGGATCGAACGTGGATATATGCGGGTCCGGATCCATATTTCTGCCGAGGCGGCCCATAAACGTGTGCGACCGAGCAGTGTAGAGCAAACTGCAAACTACCCTCTCAGATAAAAGGTGCCAATCATGAAGAACATTGTCCCTTTCTTAAAAAGAATATTATCACCAAATATCGCTTTAGAACGTTCTATCTCACCAAAACTGCTGTTCCATTTAAAAGTAAAGAGTGGATGAACAACAGTCGTCACGGAAAAGCGTGGTCTTGTTTGGCATGGAAAGAGCGGAAAGCGTTCTTTCTGCAAAGAAAACCCAGAACACACAAGCCACAAAAGAAAGCTCGAGGTACACCTAAGCACTTCTTATGAGTTGTGAATGCGTAAGCATGCGAGCCGCTCGTCCGCTCCCTTTTTCGTCTGCTGCGTACTTTTCGTCGCCGGTCAGCGCGCGTGCTCTCCTGGTGACCTTGGACACTCTGATGGACACGCAGCGCCATGGGGTGAGAGGTCGTGAAAAGTGACGAGCGCAGCGGCCATTGGGAGCCCCGTCGACACGCGCCAGCCAACGGAACCTTTGGGATCCGGGAAACTAGTTGTTGTTTTCGCGCTTCAAACCGATGACGTCAGCTCGCTCCGTGGGACAGTTAATGCTTTTGCATTAAAAATGTGAAGCCTGCAGGTGACTTCTTTGCCCTCAAGTAAATCGAGGAGACGGAATTCGATCCTCTGGAGTGGTGGAACTTGCGCCAGCACGAGTATCCGCACCTCACTCTTGTAGCGCAGTTTGTCCATGCCATCCCAGCATCAAGTGCATCAACGAGGAGAGACCTCTTTTTAGCCGGTAATAATTTAAGAGAGGCGAACCAGTCTGAATAAGTCCATGTTGACGATATCCTGTTTTTTCTACACAGCAACCTCGACAAGTGAAACGTTGCTCGTGTGTACCGTCTTCTCTTTAAAACGCGATAAGATGAAACAGCGCAAAATGGTACAAGAGGAAGAAATAAACCGGACAGGACAGTGCGCTGACTCGCAACTGTGTATTTTTACTAATAGAGGAAAAAAAAAGACAACACTCATCGTTCCACACGTTCACACGATCGTATTCTACCTATGATATCAACGCTTTGCTGCAGGCACTCTACCTTCAGTGTCAGTTTCAGGAATTCTGGCTGCTTTCTAGACAAAGCCACTGACGCTGAGCTAATGCAGTTTTTTCCACCGCTGTGCATGTCGAATGCCTCGAGCACGTCACGGGTCACTCTTCATTTGCGCATTTTCAAAATCGTGGTGGTATTGAAAGATGGTTCGCAAAGGCACTCTTTACAGTGAGCTGAAAGGTGCCCTCCCACTGTGGCTCCGAGAGAGTACCTGTGCTCACGGAGCCTATCGTTCAGGCAGCGTCGGTTTGCCCAATGTAGGTGCAGCCACACGAGAGTGGACTGCTGTACACAACGCCCATTGCACATGGCACACACCTATTGGCGTGCCTCTTACTGTACGTGTTATTTTTATTTTCCTCTGCCTTCACGCTGACTCGGGGACAAATCTGACTCGTCTGTGGGGCAAAATACAAACAAAAAACACTAATTTCGTAGCGGTTTTTTGCATTTTTTTAAAAATTATGGGACTCTTTGTGTAAATACGGGATGACCACTGGCCCCTTCCTATGAAAACTCGTTTTGTGGACTGGATACCCTTCGTTTTTTTTGAGCAGCGTGCTTGCCACGTCTGCGAGCAGTATCGATGGATAGCCCATAATTTGTGAGTCTGTCGATTTGCAACATGCCATGCTGTCCCTTAAAGTGCGGAAGCAGGATTTGTTCAGTGCTGAGCCTAGACATGTTAACGCAATGCCCCTGTTTACAATTTTTAAGTGGGCCGACCTGCAGTCAAGGATACCTTTCTTAGATCTTGGTCTGTACTTCCAGCTGACATGGGAGTCTCCTAGTATGATGAAAATGTCCAGGTACTGGAGCACCCCTTCTTCTGGAATCTCAAAGTTGAAATTAACGCCCCCACACTCAGCAAATGTTTTTACTACTTTGTTTCCCTGCGCGTTCAAAGGTTCACCTTTTTCTAGAATCGCTGAAAATCACCAACGTAGAGGATTACCTTCTTGATACTCGTGCCGCTTAGTGCTTTTTTCAATGTTACAGTCCACTTCGCCCAAGTAAATGTCAGTTAGAACGGGGGCAACTCAGGAGAAAATACACACCTCCGACATTTGTCTGTAGCACCCTTCACGCCACCCGACTATCATTGACTGTAATAAAATAGTAACATTTCCATGAAGCTTTCCAGGGGTACACCACTACTGCTTCTCAATGCCAGCTCTCCATTAGTTTCAGTGCATCTCTTCATCAGCGTCAGTGGCTATGTCTAGTAAGGAGGTAGCACTCTTGAACCTGACAATGCATGTCCAGCGCGTGCAGTAAAGCGTAGATATCATCAATAGAAGATGTGCGTGTGAATGTATGGAACAATATGCATTGTCTTTCTTCTTCTCTATCAGTAAAAATACATTGCTGTGAGTCAGCGCTCTGTCTTGTCCAGTTTGTCTCTTCTTTTTGTACCTTTGTGCGCTGTTCTATCTCATTATGATTAACAACTACCAATTAGCCCATCTGTCAACCTTATTATGTTTTCTTTTTTTTGTTCTGGACAGTCGGCACTGAGTTGCTTTTAACTATATGGTTACGAGCATGCTGTTGAGGGTTCCTGTAAAAAACTGAAACCAATAGGAGGTATTGCCATTATTGAATACTGCGATATTTTCCCAGTGATGCACTCGCGCCTTACGATGCATACACGTGTATACTCTGCTGCGGTGACTGAGTTCCTTTTCTCTCCCAGTTATTTTTATCATTTAGCCTAAATAAAATGACACAAAGTCATTAGTCTGTCCTTTGTTAATATTCATGTTTAGAAAATATGCTTCCGCTTGAAGTGGGTTTCTCAAAGTAAAAAGAAAAAAATTAATATTAAAATTTCCTTCCTTTCGAGCGTATCTTCTGGACAGAGTGTCAGTGTCACGGAATCCCAAGACGATATCATAACTGCGATCGTCTTTCGAGTGATGCGAAGTGTCCCTGGAAGGAGGATTGCTGATTTTATAAGTACGATAAAACAAAATACGATCAAATGACATTCACCGTATTCTGACACGAGTTCTTTGTACAAAGGTAAGCATGCAGCCTACAGAATACCATCCAGATGATTTTTTTTTTCATGCTAGATTTTATTATGTAAAATGAATGCGCGGATTCAGGGTCAGGTGCGGTTCCAAATTTTCCGGATGCGGTTCGGGTGCAGATACAATGTCTGTGAACGCAAATCGGATGTGAATACAATTATTTAAGAACATTACGAATACAAAGTGTGAGGATGCGGATCGGATACGGATGATCAAACTGTTATACGCGCAGGGATCTAGAAATAGATGTGCTACATAGGCAACGGAAAGACGAAGAAGAAAAAAACGCATCCCGGAACAAGTAGGTTGAAAGCAGAGAATCTTTTATTTTCATTTGGGTTAGTTTGGTTATCCATTACCGAAACGTCAGCGATTTCGCGTATAAGAGCATACCCTAGACATCATTTCAGAACGTGGAGAACGGCAAACGCTCGATTTTATCTTACCAATTCGAGACGAAACAAAGCAAGTGACAAGATATATGCTATTGGTGCGCACTCCAAGCATCCCTCGATTACTCTAGCAGAGAGCAGTCACGTGCTTTGTTCTATCCCCTTGGTTGGCTCACGTGGACCCATGGCTTATGACAAGTTATACAGAAACGGAGTAGTTGTTTTTGTTTTTCCTCCATCGCGTGTGTACACAATCTTGTTGTGAAACTAATTTGTATTGCGAGATTAGGAGTGTTATTCCCAAACTACCAGGCTTATGACGGTACAGGCTGCATCCTCTTCTTGCCAACGCGCGTTTCGTACCTACGGTTCCCTCAACCTACGTTTCACGGTAGAGACTTTACCTGGGCGTTCAGGATGTTTTCCCTGTGCAGCAGCACGGAATGCACCACAGGAGGGTTGGGGCAGAGCACCACGTCGTCGACCAGGAGGTAGTTCGTGGTGCAGTTGTTGGTGACGGCGTGGAAGCCCTCGAGCCTGAAGGACACGTCATGGTTGGACAGCACCGGAGCCTGCCACCGGCAGTACAGGGGGCCACCGCCTCCGAGAACGTCTTCGGAGAAGCCGTAGCTCTGGCTCAGTCGGTATGGCGGCTGGGCAGCTGGGAATCTCAAGGAGCCCTGGAATTGGAGAAAAAGAAATACGTGATTTATTTATTTCTTTAGTTAATTATATAAGAAGACATATATTTTGGGTGTTAAATCCTGCGACTCTAGTTTAACAAATTGTATAAAATGCTCAAGGTGTGAAGATGTCCAGTGAGGCCATTGAGCCAACTTAAGGCTGGCCAACAAAACCCTTTTGCCGAGAGGTCGCTTCAGCGTGGGGGTCGGTAGAAGTAATAAATGAATAGGGATATGTAGAGACTCAAATTGTATTAGAGCAGCTGGTGAGTGACTTGAAATACTTTTGAAGTATTTTGAGCGAGACAGCGATGTGACTGGCAGGACTATTTCTGGAGCAGCCAAAAGTTCATTTTAAAGCAGTAAAAGGAACCTTTGAAGCAGAACCCTCAATTTCTTTCGCATTCCATCTATTTATTTATTTATTTACATTCCCTCAGGGCCATATTGGGCATTATATAGAGGAGAATTTATTCATATCAACACAGGAACAGGTTAAAAAAGAGGTTAGGGAAGAAACAAATAAATATCGAGACGATGACCTGGGCCTTCTGTGAGATAAAATAAATCAAGATGCCCATATAAGATTGATGGTCCTCTACGACTCCAATGTTGCTTGGCAAGGCCTTCCAATTCTTAATTGTAAGTTTGAGCGGGCAGGATTTGTATAAGTTAGTACGGGCGAATGCAGAATTTACTTTGCTCGTACTGCCAAAACGGGGAAAGATGCGAGTCACTGGCACAATGTGATGTTGACGAGACGGAGATGAACTGTGATATATTATATGAAATAAGGAGACACGTGCTTTCCTCTTTCTGGTTTTGAGGGACAGTAAATCGAACGACTCTTTAATACGGTTGATACTGCGGGCAGTGGTACAGTCGCGTTTTATAAATCTGCTGTGAACAACATGTTGAACAAAGTCCGAACTGGTATGGGCACGTCAAATGAAAATACAGTGCTTTATTTTTTGCTGGCTGCTTCGCCGCAGAGTACCAAAGCCTATTAAAAAGCGCACTTGCCGAAGCTAGCAAAGCTGCCCAAGCTTGGAGCAAACTGAACTATTCATGTTAGAGGGCTTCCGACAACTGTCGGGTTTGATACGAATGTCGAATCGAACAGTGCGTAGTCCGAGCTGATATTACAAGTCGTCGAAAATAGGTACTACCCTACTGTAAAGATCCGGTAACGTACCGAGACCTGAGCTATTAGAAGACAGTCAAGAACCAAGATGACCTTTTGGAGCTGCGTTTTCGACAATTCCTTGCATTTTGGCAAATTGTGGTAGCATGTTGCAGGGTGAGCCTATTGGCGCAGTTTTGCTCAATTTTGCGCAACAATCACATCACTTGCAATAAAAAATAAGCATGCAAATAATGTAATTATGCTTAACACTCTACCATGATGCCATTCCCAAATGAAAGTTTTCGTTCAAGAGACAAGACATTAAACCTATATCATTCAACGTCTCCGAGTATGCGCTTGCTTATTCCAAGGAGAGGACCTATTATATTGGCAGTGTTTGGAGGCACTCTAAGTACACTGAACTTAAAGTAATCCTTAGGTTGGTTTCGACAACTTCTACTTTAATTGAGGCACATTCTCTCAGTATGTACTTGTACTTCCCTGAAAGTATTTTTTCTATTATTTTCCAAACAAAATACAACTTCCGACCTCAAAGTATAGTCCCAATATTCTGTGAAGCCTTTTTTTTCATACTAGAGTGGTAAAAGACACAATGGCAGACAAAGGACACGAAAAGATGCTTTTCGGGCACCTTTTCGTGATGCTTTGATTACTTTGTTATTTTCGGCATCCACTGCCACATACTATTTTTCGGTTGGGGTGTGGAGTTACGTCTTGTCGCCAAATCGATAGAAAATCTGTAAGCTTCTGGGTGCCCTCAGGAGCGAGCTTCCACAGAAGTAGTCTTTTTTTTGTCGTTCTCAGAAGCCAATAACTATACTCCATGTGTTCTGCAAAGAGCTCAGACAGACAAGGGCAACAGCACGTTGGCATGGGCAATTTTTTCTTCCCCTTGGTGAAAATAAGCCCTTTCAAGGACGACGCGCTTGCGTCCTTGGCTTTCCCAGTACTGTAGTACACAACTTCCGAGGTCGAGTATAAGCGTTCACACCTCTAACAAAAAAAGGTGGCGCATAGTCGTCGTGGGAAAACGTGTTATCGTTTTACGAGACGTGATTCGGTGATTTCTTAGAAAAGTAATGGCGGGTGGAAAACCAATAAAAATGAAAGCCTTTACAATTCCCTGTAATGCCTAATTAGAGCGTAGCTCTTGAGGAAGAGGAGGCGAAGGTACGGAGAGCGGGGTATGCCCCCCTCCTCATCCGTTCCCTCCTCTCCTGCTCTTCTCCCATTTAGAGGGGAAATTTTCCCACCAACTTTAGCGGAGAAATTTTTCCGCTAAATTTAGTGAGAAACTTTTTCCGCTAAATTTAGCGGGTAAATTTTCCCAGAATGCAACGCGCGCTGACGTCACTCATGACCCTCACGACGTCATTATGGGAAACGTTCCATAATGCAACGCGCAATTACGGGGGCGCCGACACCGACGGCGACGGCAAAGCCGCTCAAGCCGGAAACGGGCGCCTAAGAGCTGCTTTTAAATAAGTGCCTTATGAGTTGATTTTGTCAAATATAGTTCGTAAACGAGAGTAAAAGAATATTGTGTGGCCACTTTACTTTTTCCAGTATTCATCGCCATTTCCAAAAATAACTAATGCACCCCTGATAACTTATGGAAATACGCTCGGCAGCCTTCTGCCTGGTTAGGAATAGAGGTTAAAGGCGCACTGAGAAGTCAAAACCTCTCTTTTATTATCCGGAGCAATTGAAAACGATGCCTGGACATTACCCTCAAAATTTGAAACTTGAAAATTCATTATTTGTGAAGTAAAAAAGCAATTTCCAAATGCCAAGTTTGAAGTTCTCGCGTGATCCACTCCAGTGCAGTGACGTCAAATATTGAGCAGTCCTGCGAGTCGAGTTTCTTTCACACCTCCGCTCCGAACCGTGGTCGCCGCGACCCAAGTATCATGTTCGCCGTCGCCGCGCGAACAACCGGCCTCCTGCGCGCGTGCCGTGCCACCTATCGCTGCGAGCAAACGACGTTTCCCTTTCAAGTTTAAAGTTCTTTTGGGGCCCTTTCAGCAATCTCAAACTTTTTTAAGCAGTTTGAGGTCAAAGAGAACGCGCAGTGGACTTTAGTGAGCGACGTGAGCGGCCACGTCTTGCCAGTTCTGCGTTGAAGGCTGCCCCGGCGGAGTCACAGCCGAAACTACACTACACAGACACCAAACCCAGTTGTTTTGACCGTTCGACGATTTCCTTCTCGAAGTCTGAGAGGCCATTGAGCCCCTAAAAAAGACCACTTCGTCCGATTCCCCGACTAGCCGATCCTCCTCTGCTACATGCGTCGAGCACCGACATGTTTTCCAAGGGACGATAAAAATCCAGGATGCGACATCACACCGGACTGATTCCCGGTATCTCAAAAATTAAAAAATAAGGGCCGTTGTGCGTTCGAAATTGCGTTAAAAACATATTTTACGAATTCCGTTATTAAATGTTACATAAATGTCGCCTATAAAGCTTCTAAATTTCATAATATCTGACGTCACAAATTAAAAGAAGCGAGGAGGTCAGGAGCGGGAGAGAAGGGCACCAGAAATAAAAAGGGGCGCGCTCGCCTGGGAAATTTTTTTTCGCGTCGCGGTCTTTTTTTTGCGCGTCTAAAACTGCAACTTGCATCGTTAAAAAAATACGACCTTTGGGGTGTCATTTTAAGCGGAAAATGGGACTCTAGCCAAAAGTTTAATAAGCAGTAACTTGACGTTTCGAGACCAGCTCGCTACCTTGTTCACAGGTGAGCGACGTAAAGAACACGCGTCGCTTAAAGGCTTACGTACAACCTCGGTTTTCTGCAGGGATGGTAATCCTTTTAGCGCTCCCCTCCCCTAAGCTGCGAGGGGAGCCAAGTCGGCGCATTGTAAAAAGTGGAGAAGATATAGGCAAGGAGGTGGTGGGCAAAAGTGCAAAGCGCGAAGTGTACGTCAGCCTTTAAATCCACACACGGATGTATAGGGCTCTGGGTCGTCACACAGTACTGAGACGTAGCTGCTGGTTGTTGTTGTTGTTAGAACGTTCTTTATTGCCCTCTTATATATAATATATGTATACATATATATATATATATATACACATATAGGGAAAGGAGCACAAAGAACGATTCACGTTCCCACTTGTGCGTGAAGTGACTGGAGTTTTGTACATACGTTGGAGTCTTTCCGGTAAGGGGTGAGAGGAACCTGTGGAGGTGGCGGAAAACGGCGCGCAAAGGTGACGACGTAACGTTGCGAAGTCTGCAATAGGCTGAAGTGGTACACCGGCCTTCTGTATCTTGGGAGGACCGCTCAACGCCGGGATGGCGTTCTACGGTCTTCCTAGCAGGGCCTCATACCCGTGTTCTTTCCGTTTACTCACCCCTGAACAAAGGATCGAACTGGTCTCGAAACGTCCGGTTACTGTTTATTAAACTCCTGACTAGAGTCAAATTTTTCGCTTAATAACCGCTGAGGCAATGCGTACCAAAGTTTTTCTTTTATTAAATATTTTATAGGGGAATGAAGGGATATCATACATGATCGTCTTAAAAAGTACTTGTGCTTCACTTTGCGAGTACCTTGTACATATAGTGCTTTACTTCAAGTACATTGCACCCGGTGTACTTACTACTTTACTTTAATTAAATAACCTCTCATTTACCTTTGTGTAGTCTGATTTGTTACGCTTAATAACCCATGAGGCAATGCGTACCAACGTTTTTTTTTTATATACTTTAAAGGGGAATGAAAAGATATCATAAATCATCGTCTTAAAAATACTTGTGCTTTACTTTGCGAGTACCTTGTACATGTAGTACTTTACTTCAAGTACATTGCATCCGGTGTACTTACTACTTTACTTGACATAAATAACCTCTCATTTACCTTTGCAGTTTGCTTCAAGTACTTTTGAAACGTACTCTACTCAACACTGTGTATCGGGCAATGGCCAGTTTCACCTATACTTCCAAGGATAAAGATATGCAAAAGTGAGTGTTGATCCTGACTATGTAAGTGCGGCGTGTGGATTTTTTTCTTCTTCTATGCCTGAACCGCGAAATTAAATAAATGACAAGAGTGTACAATATTTATTCGCATTTATACTAAGAAAAAACACTCTCAAGGTGCCTATATTCTTATTTTGAAGTTCACTTGTTGAATGAAACTGTATTCTGAACGACCCGAACAAGAAATGCCACTTCAAAACTGAAACAATATAGAATGGGTGGAGCAAGCAGCTCTAATGCGTCTATGTTCTACCTCTTCTGTACTTTTTCGCTAAGTTTACTGACTTGGGCGATGCAGTAATCTTGTTGAACCGTATGCAGCCAGTCTTTTGAAGAAGCTCTTCTCAAGCCGGGAAAAGAGGCGGGGGGTGATGTTTTAAGAGCTTTTTTGCCCGATTTTCCAAAGGGCATCATGGTCAGATCCCATACCACCTAGTGATATTTACAAAATTGCAGAGGGGAAGTAACTTAGCTTAGAACGGCGAAGGAAGGTATACTACCTTTGGTTTTTAGTTTCTAGTCCAGGCGGCGCAAGCTACCACCCTTTATAAAGGGTATAGTCGTTACCAGCTATTCATCCATTCATCCACGACCAGGCCATGGCAAAAATACATCGGACATAAAGACTCACCTGCAAATCCAACTCGAGACGCTCCGCTCCGCAACGGGTATCGGAGTAGAATGTAAAGGACACTTCTAGCAGCCTGTCTTTGAGCGCGGATGCGCTTATTCGTTTCCATTCCGGCGTAGGCTTCAAGTAGAGCGAGAGTTGCAGGACCGGCCCCGTGGACACAATGCGGTGGGTGCGGTACCTTCCCACGTTGCAGAGACAGGTCGGCCGCTCGTAGCGCGTCTCTGCAATGATCTCAACTCTTCCAGGACCGTCCCTCGGACACAGGTCGCAATGGTCAGTCCTTGTCTCGAAGATGGATGCCACAGTCAGTTGTATCCTCCCATGGGGCCACGACCTCGCATCGAACGTATAGTTGCACGTGACCGCTTGAGCGTGCTCGGCGAAGTCGCCGAAGTGGACGGCCAACGTTCCTCGGGACGGAGAGTCGGCCTCGCCGGCCGCGAAGCGCCTGTTGCATGCCAGGGGGCTGACCCTGTTGTCGTAGATGGCGGCGTTGATGTGCCGAACCTCGAAGCCGAAGCTGATGGACGCGCCATCCAGGCTCCCCGTTTTGCTGGTGAACTGCAGAAGAAGACCAGGTCCCGTGGACTCAAAGACTGCTCTCGGCTGCTCCGTCCTTGGCTTGTTGGTGTCGCACAGCTTGGTGATGATGTAGCGCGGGTCCGGCTTGAGCGAATCGTAAATTCGCAGCGCTTCGTCGCAGAGTGTCACCCTTTCCACTCTGAACCAGAGGAACTCAATTCTGACCAGTTCTCCCGGAGGAGCGGTAAACTTGTACGAGCAAGTCGTGTTGATGGGGTACCACGAACGAGGACTAGCAAAGATGGCGGGTCCGCTCAGCTTTCTCTCCATCAGGCATGTTCCATTTTTGAGCTGGATGTGTTCCCCATCCCCCGCGTCGAACACGGTGTCCGCTTTGAAGTGGAATCCCGTGTTAAGCAGTGGACCAGCGGGTGACGTGAGAAAGGTAACCAGCATCTCGGTGCCCGTGGCAACGATGTTGGACTTAAGACGCCCGCGGCCGCAGAGTGTAGCGATAGCCGGGAAATCCTCGGTGGGACCGTCGTAGACCTTGACGTAGTCGTACGGACACCGGCTCGGATCTTTTGTGATGGGCCGCGGGAAGCACATGAGGAGGTTGTCACAGCGGAGGCCGTCGACGTCGAACGTCGTGAGGTCGAGACCGACGAGGTTCTGGCGGACGCTGATGCGGTATTTGCAGACCAGGTTCCGCGGGTAGATTCCCGGGTATCCAGGGGACTGTACAAAACAGCGTCCGGGGGAACAGTCCCGGAACGTCCGATGGCAGTAGGTGTTCTGAACTGGAACTCCACGGCGGTTCGGATAAAGTTGGGAGTACTGGCCATACCTGAAACATAAATGTGAAAAAAAAAAACAAAAAAAAACGTTTTAGTACTTTTAGGACACTAAATCAACTTGAAGCTATTTCCTCAAATCAAGGGTCTAGAACAGGGGTGGCCAGGCTGACCCGCCTTAAGAGCCACTAACAAAAGCACAAAACTTCCAAGAGTCGCGGGGGTGCAAACTTCTGTCCAGAGCAGTAAACGAAGAACTACTTTCAGTTTACCCAAGTCAAAAGCAGTAATGTAGCAAGCAGTAGCTCAAGACTACCAATTTGCTACCTGTCTTTTGATTTAAAACGCGTTCCATTTTTCTTTTTGGGGAAGTGCTCGTGTGACCGGGAGGGAGGCCCGGGGGAGGGGGTGTAGGGAAGGGAGTCGCGAGCCCCACTTTAACACGCGAAGAGCCGCCGCTTGGCCACCCCTGGTCTAGAAATGACGCTGGCAAACCCGCATGTTTCTGGAGACATTCGTAACTTTCGTGAAGCGCGGCTTCGTGCCACTTGTAATATGGTGAACAACACGCAAAGGTTGCCGCAGCCAGTAGAAAGAAATGCAAACTTTAGTTAGGAGCTACAGAGAGAGACTGATTAATCGCTGCAGCATCGAGCGATAATTTAAGAGAATTTTTCGCTTAAGTCCTGCCGTACCATGTTTTTTGTCGTCATATAGTTGCCCTTTCTAGGTACTCTTTTTCTATCGAGGCGCTTTAGGAGAGGGCTTTAAATACGGATATATCTTGCCAGTTCAACGAGGATCTACGGGGCTGCTAGTTACCACGAATCGCAGCAGTTAATAAACATGGTGCACCACAGTGGAACAGGGATGATCAGTGTTTTAAACACAAGTATTTGAAATACTTCTTTAGAAATCTTTTTGAGTATTTTTTATTTCGCAATTAATTGCATTTTTAGAAATGTATTTGTAACGATATTTAAATACTAAAATTTGAGTACATAAAATATGTGTATTTCCAACACTGTCCAATATATATTTAGGGCACTGCTCTTAGTAATCAAATTTAATAGTTATCAATGTCATCAATCTTCGCAAAAAGAGCCATGCAAAGAGCAGGAAACTTGCTGCGTTTTCTGTAGAATACAGATCGAACAAACAAAAAAAGAAGTAGAACAAAGAATAAATAGGATGAGTACAATTACTGCATCCTTGGTTGGGTGATTATAACTTTAAACACGTCGAATTAACGACACGAGATATTAATCGAAAAGGCTTTGACGCCTCAACACGGCCTTTGAAAGGAATCTGAAAATAAATGCATTGTTTTTATTTGTTTTGTATCCACCCATGAAAATATGACAAACAAATTTTATCTTTAATGCTGCAAAACTCATTAAGCACTTGATTCTTAGTATAAATAAACATTACACATCATTTGGGAACGGTCTTTTTCACCTGAGTAAAAGTTAAGTCTAAAATATCAGTCTTTTTAGAACAAAATGTATCGAAAAAAGTATCTGAAGATGATCGAATACCGTCGTTGCCTTTGCATCTTGTATCTAAAAGTAGCTGAAGGTGTTCTTGAAAAAACAATAACTAGTTAGACCGAATTCTGGAGTATTTTTGGCCCCTAAATTTGAATATCACGAGCATTTGACTGCGAACGTATCGATAGACCCGAGAAATACCAAAACAACCAGCCGTCGGGTTTTGATGTCATGCCCAGGGATTTCAACTTCAGTTCGCGTGCCACTTGTGACGGAACACGTGCAATGCTTTTGACGACTGCTGGGGTAAGGCTTGCGGAAGCCGCGGAAATGTCGATATCTAATATAATCTAATATAATCGATGTCTAATATATCACGATTCCCTCGTCCCACCGAACGCTTCGGGAAAGAGGGGCTCCAGGGCTATATTGAATGCGCTGTTGTGATTACTTGGCGAAACAATTTGAAATGTAACTTTGATACGTGTAATCTTGAAGGTCCAATGAAGATGATTTTTACCTGAAATATAACACCATGTCAGTTTCCTCTTTGGTATATTTTGAGAAGATCTGATTGAAATTGTAATTAAATACATTTTTGTCGGAGTGTTTTGTGTTTGTACTTAAAAAGGTTTTAAAAAAAATATAATTCACATCCTTGCACTGGATGATTATCTTAACATATCGGAGCGTGCGGGTCTATGTTAGTGCTGTCGACGGCGCAAGCCTACCGTAACTTATTGACTTCCTAGCCAACACCGTTGTTCGATCTTGTTATACATTTTATTTCTGACAACTTAGACTAAACTAAGTTGACAAATTACAAGCAGAGACTTCCTATAAACTCGCTGATCTTCCACCTCAGGCACGAAACTGACATGATCTGCATTTCCTTGCGTTAATGAGAATTTCCAGTATGGCTAACCGCCTAACTGCGTCGACTAATCAAATGCGAGGCACAAATAAGTTTGCGTGCTGTTGCTGTGTGTTAACGTAAATTGTAATTCTTTAGTCAAAAGCTATGTTCTTCAAAATCAACTACACGTACATGAAGCTTAAGTCACCATTACGTAAGGTGCTCGAAGTGTCTCCCTGCCTGTTTCTCTCGGGGTAAATATATGTTTGTTGCGGTGGGGCGTCATTAGTAGTTTTGAGTTCTTAATTCTTAGTGTATGTCAGCCATACAAAATTGCTAAGGTTTCAACAGTTTGCACCTACAAATGAAAACAGAAAATTCGTTTAGTCATAAGAAACTAAATCTACGTATGTGCTTGGTTCACGCATGAGCTACTGTTTACGGCCTATAAAAATAACTCACATGGTAACACCGAGGATAATAACTATAATATACGAATATTTAAACAAGTTGAGCCAAGTAGAGTCATCCTTAATCAAACTTTTATAAACACTAGCGCCAGCGTGCAGTTTATTGCGCTATAGGGATTCACAACGCGCCAATTCAATCTAAGAAACATCACACATGAAGTATCAAAGCTAATCATTTCACCAAACTCCAGAACGGATTGCTTGCACACCTACGCCAGTCTTCCCTTAGTTTACGCCCATCAGAAGCAATTGCTTATACGTCAAAGCGGTTGACACGCCAGGACACCAGTGACCTTTCACAGGTTCATTTCTATTAAAGCGTTCTACTTCCTTTTCACGAGGCAATCTAAACCCATGCCTGTAGAGTTTGGTGTCCGCAAGTACGCATGGTGCCTCGAAGGCGTCTCCGATTGGTACGTGTAGTGTTCTATTTGTTCATGAGATCGAATATCCAGCAAGTGGCAACCAAATACGCCTCGCATTAACCGCCGTGTGAGGGTACAAAGGAACCTTAGCGGTTGGTTGTAGAAGTGGCCGGCAGATGGAGTGCGGAAGCCTTTGTTACGGCGTCCCTACATCTTACGGCTTAGGTCTCAGGCAACCGACCGGCTGCAACTACTACAGAACAGGAGTCTGTTGCATCTGTCACGTTGGCCAGAACCATGGTGACACCCTAGAAGGTACCACGAAGCGATGAAATCCTTTTTTATTCAGAACGACGGCTGTGCGGAGTGCAACTTCGTCTGCTTTTTTGCAGGGGTTGTGGTAACGCCTGAACGCCAAACTCTGACTGGTTCTGAATGAAGGATGGTGGGTAGACCTCAAGGAAGCTTGCTTTGAAGCCCACCCACTATTCTTCAATCAGAGCCAATGAGAACTCGGTGTCTTTCTCACGTCACCGCGTCTTATGCGCAAGAAGCAGACCGACTTGCTCTCAGCATATAGTCACTGCCATCTGAAGAAACGCAGGGGATGGCAACGCCCGAGAATCTCATTACCGTTGCCCAGCCAATCAGAGTGCGGGATCAGCTGATAAGATTGTCAAAGAGCCAATCAGGAAGCAAGAGCCACGAATATAATAAGCCTCGCCGCAAGGTTCTTAAGCTGTCAGCGACTGCCCGAGTTCTACTAGTGCGAAGAACAGAAACAACAAACACCGACAAGCCTTAGTCACGTGCGGAACACGCACGCGAAGATACCTTTTGGCAGGCTTGCGGTGTCTCGGGGATTGTAAAGAGTTTTTGGCGAGCCTGCAAAAAATATATTCGCATACGCACTTGCACGTGCTTGAGGCTTGTCGGTGTCGGTTGTTTGTTTGTCGCCCTAGTGAGACTCAGGCAAAAACGACAGTGAAAAAAGAGAAAAAAAAGAAACGCTTCCAACATACCACTTTCTTCGTCTTAGTGCTTGCGCCCTTCCTAAAGTTGCCGGATATTTCTCAACAGCTGCAAAAGACAGCCAGGACTTGAACATGCGCAAACGGTGATCGTGAGGACCTTTTTTCTTTCACTCGCCGCATGTCTGGCGTATCTTCAAAAGACTCGCGATGTTTGTCTGTTCTTCTCTGAACAGCAACAGCTAAAGAAAGTTTAAAAAAAGTTAGTTTTCTTTTCATCAACCCAGCCCTAATCTCGCATTTGAAAGGGAGTGCGGCACGAGAAACGGGCTACGAGGCAGTAATGTATGTACATTAGCGTCCCGCCTCTTTTCTTTTCTTAGAGCTTGTGAAACCGCTCTTCGTTGTCGTCTTCGCGAAAAGTTTCTTATCGTCGCTCGAGGTGCTTGTATTCCCAAGGTGGTGTTTAAAAGGCGCTCCCTGCTTCTGTTTTCCGGGGGTGGGAGGGTTCCTTCAAAAGGCTTCAAAAGAATGCAAGAGCATTATGGGTCTTTACAGAAAGCCCGCATTGTCTGACATTAAAAGTAAACACAGACACACGCGAAACAAGCGGGGCGTCTGTATAAAAGATCCGCCACGAACGGGTCAATGGAAAAACGCCGAGCTTTCAAGAAGGAAACACGAAAATACTACAGGGTGATGCACGTTGAACAATGCGACATTGCAAGAGCTGTCTCGATGTAACCGAGAAGCCAGGGCTCTTTTTGTTGCTCCCGGCGAATCTCGGGTTGCAAGATTTCGTAATCCAAACCCGAGGGTCGACTCGGGAAGCCATTACTCGTGTCCAATTGTATGAATTCAGGAGCGCTTTAACTGTTTTTAATTTTTAATAGGTTAAATA